AGGAAGACCCCAATAAGATGGATTGGTACAGTGGCAGCAGCAATGGGCTGAAATGCATCTAAGATTGTGAAGTTGGCCCAGTACTGAACAGTGTTCCATTCTATTGTGCACAGAGTCACTATCACTTAGTACTGACTGGATGGCACCTAACAACAACAACATTTGTCATGAATTACTAAATATGTTTCTAATATAAAAACTGCTTTGCATATATATTGTTCTATTTGAAAATAGAGACTTCATATTATCCTAAACATTATATTTCATGCTCAAAATAATAATCATCAACTTAATCTTATCTCTTTTCTGGAATGCAAAAGCAAGTATGTTTATGTATTTTATTCACAGCTTTATTCTTGGATCCTAGAATAGTCTGAGACACATATTGTTGTTGTTGTGAAGTGCTGTCAAGTCATTTCTGACCCATAGCGACCCTGTATAGGGTTTCCAAGGAGCAAGGGGTGAGCTTGAACCACCAACCTTGCAGTTCAAATAGCTTTGCAGTCTGGCGCATTAACCTTCAGTGCCACACCAGGACTCCAGACACATATTAGACTGTCAGTAATTAGTAGATTAATCTCCAAAATGGTTCCCATCCTCGTTATATTCTCTTAGCACTAATATCTTCCAGCTTTCAAAGTGCTTAGTGGAATACAACCTGGGCTGGTAACACCAAGGGCAGTAGTTTGAATCTACCAGCTGCTCCTTGGGAGAAAAGACTCACTTACCTGGTAATCTTCAATAGCATATTCTATGGAATAATGTGTGTGACTCTCATGCTCCTGAATGTTAGAGCAGAGCACACAGAACAGGTTCCTACTGACTTCACAGAAGATTGTCTTTGTCTCCTTGTGTGTCCCACACATCTGTTCCTGGGAACACAAGAACTGCCGGAGATGGGCTTGTCTGGCAAGGAACACAAGATTCTTCACTAGAATATTAGTTTTGAGCTCTGTCTGCACTGTTTTTTCCTTGCAAATGGGGCAATGGGCAGTTGTGCCTTTTTCCCATATAAGGTTTAGACAGTGCCTACAGAAACTGTGTCCACAGTCTATGGTGATGGGGTCTGTAAGGTAGTTCAAACAGACAAAGCAGGTGAGTTCCTTTTGGCAGTCTGAATCCATTTCCTGGAGAAAAGAATTGGAAGAGTTTAATATTGTGCCCTGAAAAGATAAAACCCTATGCAAAATTTGCTCTTAATTGTGATCCCAAAGCATACTTGTGTGAAATTCAAATTCATAAAAAGAGTCAGACTTACTTGGCCAATAAAGACTAGAGGAACCCAGGGGAGTATCACCCTAAGGTATTCGTTGAACTCCTGGAAGTCGCCTTTCAGCCAAATTAGAGATTGTTGTTGTTAAATGCCATCCAATTGGTTCCAACTCAGTGACCCTGTATAGGCTTCCGTAGAATGAACCTTGTGATTCAAACCAACCTTACACTCCAGTGCTCTTCCTGGAATCCAAATTACAGATTGTTGTTACTGTTAAGTGCTGTAAAGGACCTGGTTCCCACTAATATAAGATTTCCAAGTCTTTAAATCGTCCCGGGAGCAGAAACCCTCTTTGTACTCCGGCAGAGCAGCAGGCAGGCTCAAACTGCGGACTTTGCAGTTCACAGTCCAGTGATTATCGTATGTAGCCACTGTGCTCCCCTCAAAATTAGAGATTAAACTATTAAATAAACAGAGTCATTCATAAGTAATGTAATTCCTTAAATAATCAATTATATGAAACCAAATGACCAACATTTATCCAAAAAGTAAGGGATCAGCAGGCAATCAGAAGCAGGGAACTAGATCTGTCTTCTATCCCTCAGTCATGATCAGAAATGTTTCTCTTGCAACTCATGGTTAAAAATGTATGAGAAATGCTTATATACAAGACATACTAAAAAGTAAATAAATTTTCATTTTGGTGTCTTTTATTTTAAATAAAATACTCTAAGTAGCCCGGGTAGCTGGGACGCTAACTGCAAGCTCAGCGGTTCTAATTTACCAGTCACTCTGTAGGAGAAAGAAGAGGCTTTCTGTTCTGGTAAAGATTTACAACCTCAGAAACCTTATACAGGGTTGCTATGAGTCAGGATGGACCCAGTGGCACACAACCACCACCACCAAAACAACTTCTTGGTTTGGCACTGTAGGATGAATATTGGACTGCTGATTGCAAGCTTGCCAGTTCAAACCCACCAGAAATTTCTTGGAAATCGTATACAGGGTCACTTTGGGTCAGAACAGACTGAACAGTGCTTAAAAACAACAGCAAAAAAATTCTAGGATGTCCTAGTGGCATCATGATCTAAGCTCTTGGTTGCTAACCAAAAATGATGATGCTTCAAACATATCAGTTGTTG